ACAAAATCATATATGCAAAAAATAAAGAGCAAATAGCTCACTTCATCTCTCCTCGCAAATGATTCCGTTAAGAACCTGGAAAAAAACAGAAACGCTGTAAATTTTAAAAAATAGTCAAAATCTAATAATAGAAAGAAATGACAAATATGAAAGTCCAAGTTTAACAAATAGTATTTAAATTTAAAAATCAGAAGATATAAAATAAAATTAGAATTATAATGGTGTTTACTATATTTGTGAGAAAGAGTGATATCAAAAAATGGTAACATTGAGGCAAATAAAGAAATTTTACAAACAAAAAAATGAAACAAGACATTAACAAAACTCAACTTTTCAACAAGTTTAGTTGAAAATTCATAACAAAAATTACTTTAATGGATAATTTTCAAAATGAATATTAGTTCTTTAGAACATTCATTCCATCAAAATAAAATATTATTTACAAATAACACATGCGTGCGATGGTCATCCATATCCAACATGAAACTCATAGATCGATCCTCACATACAATTCAAAGTTCTAAATTTAGAAAAGGTGGCCAAGTGTGGGGTTCAAACCTTCAAGCTAGCAAATATGATGATCTAACTGCAAGGATAATTTTATGATTATAAAAGCCAATAGAATTGCGATATTAAAACTAATAAAACAATATAAAAATACTCAAATAATCCTATGAAAAAAAAACTCAAGTGACTTTTGCGTCGTGGGCAATGACACAACAAATTTTCCCCTCATTATTTTCCCTTTTTATGTGACTTTTTATAACTTACTAGAAAATAACAGAAATGCACAGCATCCACATAATCAACTATCAATCAAAAACTTTGATGAATAGGTGGACCAACACTTTTACCTTAAGATTTGAAATAAATTAACTTGTCTTATCTTAGAACTAAACTAATCAAACTGAGCCACTGGCCAATTTTTTATCATTGAACAGAGAATAGATAGTTAACTTACGTATTTGATAATGATCTCGGTTTTTTTAACTTCAACTTCCACCGATCAACTTCATTTGTGTCCTGTGAAGGCAGTTCTATCGACCATCTGTATAGTTTAATAAAATTCACTTATTAATAAACAACGACTTTATTTTAAAGAATGATACTATTTATTTGACTTTCAATACAACATCTTTAAAAGGATTCATTTACAAGTGAAGGATCATCATCAACATTACGCTAATCACATTATATTATGTAATCAAGTTTCGTTTTAAATTTATAGTGTATAATTGTTCTGATAAAATTCTGATTGGATGAGACAAATATCATGCAGTAATAAATGTTTAACCTGTATAATTATCTAATATAAACCTAACAAACTCCACAAAATATCTGCAATTGCCAATTATATAATTAAAACTTTATTGAATAAAAACATGTTCGAAATTTTTAATAAAGGAACTGAAAGATCTTATATATTGTTATTGATTTAGAGAGCAAGCTTTCAGTAGAAATTAGCGTTTTGTCGTTTTCAGATGGAGAAAACATTTGAATCATCGAAATAATATCTCTATACTAGAAAGATTTGGCCAAATTACCGTTTGGCCAAATTATCCACATGTCCTTACATACTGCATTAGTGGGAGAATTGTGCCTTGGCGTGGCCGCCGTAGTTGGTAGTTGTAAGAGTGTTAGTTGGTCACATGGGCTGCAGTTGAAAGCTGCAATGACAGTATTTGAACATTTTAGAGCAGGATTTAATATGACCAAGATCCTGCCAGACAGTCAGTTTAGACAAAATAAAGCCGCGGATAAATCAAGATTTCATTATTGATTTCAGACGTAAATCCCGGATTTACTAAATCCTGTGAATATGAGGATTTAGTAAATTCCGGACGGGCGATTCGCGCAAAAAGGAGGATATGAATTTACCTTCCTTCATCTGCCTCCATGATTAGGAGCAGTGCGGAAGGAGAAGAAAGATGGGAGTTTCGGGTCTCTGTAAGCCGCGATCCTGCCGTTTGCTTCCCAGTTAGCGCTAATTGCGACTATATTGCGAAGGGGGCGAAACCGGGAGAGAAGGTATGGACATAGGAGAGGGGAAGGTCTTTGTCTTTGTGCGAAACCGGGAGAAAGGTAGCGATGTAGTAAAATAGGAAAAAATTTAGCTCTGCGGGCGACTCGGCTTGATCTACCAGAGTTCACGGCTCTATTAAAAGTTTTAATTAAAAAAACAGAAAAAAAATTATTAAACTAGATTCAAATAATATTTTAATAAAATTAATAATATATAAATCTTGTCCTAATTCTTAACATCTTAAGTTACATGCTTAAGATTGTCAAAAATAACTTTTTGTTCGTGAGAGATTCATGTTCGACTCGCTAAGAAAATGAGTCGAAAACAAACACACTTTTTGAGCTCGAAATATGAAGGAGTCGAACACGAGCGAGCCTCTTGTTAGGCTCGTTTGCACTCCTAATTTCGTGTTATTGAATGTTGGACATTGTTTCGGGGTTATTTCGAGGTTATTGAAGAGAAATTCTTATAATCCACTTCAATAATTCTGAAATAACTCGCGGAGATTATTTGAGAGTTTTTGAAGTAAATGGTTTTTCAAGTAAAATATATGAGTTTCTCTTCAATTATGTCGAAATAACCTCGAAATAACTTACACAATATTATTTCGATGTTATTGAAGTGAAGTGTATGGGTTTATCTTCAATAACTCTGAAATAACCTCCGCGGTTTTGGATTATTGAAGTTAAATATATGATTTTCTCTTCAATAACAAAAAAATAAACACTGCAACGTTATTTCAGAGTTATTGAATTAAAATATTTGAGTTTCTTTTCAAAAACCATGAAATAACCCTAAAATAATCTCAGCGGCTTCACTTAAATAACCCCGAAATAATCTCTGCGATGTATCACACATAACAACATAATATTGGATTTCGCACGTAGAGCCATGTCTGGAGTTCGGACATAAAAATTTCCCCTAAAATAGGGCCCAATACTCTTTGGTTGTCTCTTATTGAGCAATCTTTGGACTTTGCCTGTAAAATTTTCTTAAGAATAGAAGAAGTGGAGATGGAATTATTATTTGAGGTTGTTTTATTAATTTAATTGATTAATACTTAATTTTGTGTTGATATATTATCAAATTTATTTTGATTAGATAAATTTATATGTAATTATTTAATTAAAAAATACATTTTAAAATCTAAATTATTTAGTAGTTAATCAATTTAAAATACATTCTTAATTAATATAATTAATAATTGCTTAATTTTAAAAAAAATTAATAATTAATTTGTTTAGTGAATAATAATTATTAACTATTATAATCATAAATAATATTTAAATTAATTAAATTTAATTTAAATAATTATTTTTTATTATAATAAAAAATAATCAAATTTTAATTATAATAAACATAACAATTTTTTAAATCCTCACATAAATTACCAAGTTGTTTTGCAGCATTTGACCGAATTTATTAAATTTGTTGCCAAATAATTTTTTAGATTTACACTTTCAAGGATTTATTAAATGTAGATTTACA